CTGTTCGTGGCTCCAAGGAGAGAACTATCAGCCCCCAGAATAGCAGAAAGGGGTGCAGAGAGCAATTGTCTTCTGCCAAAGACAAATAAAGCAAAAGGAAAGAAAAGGCGCTAGAAGATGATGAATGGTTCAGCTTCCTGGGCTGCAGGAGCCTCTTCATTAACCGCTTCACTGCCTTTTTTCCTTTTTTTTTTTTATTATTTTTCTTCTCTCCCTGGCTCTGTGTATGCACCGCTCTGCCGGCAGCTCTGAGTGTCCGTGTGTTGCCTGCCCACGGACACGTGCTCCCACTTTGGTCTCCTTCCCTTTCATCCTTCCCACCCTGGGATATAACATTAAATGAGAAAAGAGGATGATTTTACCATCCTTGCAAAGGATTCACCCGACCTGCACTGAGCAGTGGAGGACAGAGCAGGCCGGGTGCTGCCTGCAGAAAGCTGGACCTGGAGGTGCAGAGGGACAGCAGCGGTCTGGCACTGTCACCAAGTGCTGCACCCTGCAGGACAGGGCCTGCCCATGCCAGGACATGCAAGGACATGCACAGCTCTACCTACAAACTTGGCGTCCCTCTAAACCCAGCGAGCAGGGTACCCGGGGGGACACTGTGGTCCATGCTTCCCAACTCAAGGAGATGTCCCCAGCTTGCTCCAGAAAGGCCCCCAAATTCTGCTTGCTCCCTCAAAGCCAATTGAGCCTTGGGGATCCTGCCCTTCATCCACAGCCCTGCTCACCTGGTGACCCCTGCAGAGCCGAAGCAGATGAGGAGCCCCAGGATGGAACCAAGTGTCCATTCAGGTCCTGGAGAGCTCAGGCCTTTCTGGGGGTCAGGATCCAGCCTCTTGCTGCAGCTCCCACATCTCATGGTAATTGGGCAGGACAGGACGTGGCTGGGACAGCAGAAGAATCAACATTTCACAAGTGGGGAACCTAAGGTGGAGTCAGCCTCAAGGTGACAGAAGTTGGCTGTAGTTCTTTTGCCACTACCAGAGCAAGTTGGATCCTGCCGGAGCCAATTCTCTATGTTTAGCTGTCCTATTCCCAGGGTGGTTGGTCCAAAGAAGTTCACCATGTTAAAAGAAAGCCTAGGAGATATTAAAACACACCCCACACACACTCCTACACCCCCTAATCAGGAAGGGTGAAAGCATCTCAAAAGCCCAGAGGCCCCAGCTAATTTCACAGCAGCTGGATCCCAAGCTGCAAGCTCTGCTGCTTGCAAAACGCCTGGCACGCTGGGACCTCTTGGAAGTCTTGGGAAGAATGTTAATGGAGATGAGACACCAGCAGGAGAAGAGCTGCTAGGCAGAGAAAGAGACACTGCTGGAAACGACTCACTCAAGTTACCCCAGCTTAACTTGTCTTGCATTACATAGGACATGGAGTATCTCAATGCAAGAGCAAGAAAGAATCCCATAAATTAAACAAAAGCCAGAGAAAACACCTGTACTGCTGGGACTGTTTCCTGCAGCAGTGTTGGCTCTCCGTCACTAGAAGGTCCAAGAACAGAAGGGCAATTGTAGTGAGACAGAGCAAAGAGCTTAAACGAGTCTCCATTAGGGATTGGGTTGAATCTGCAAGGAGCTCAGCTTTGCTCCTTATATTCTACCTTTCTTCTGAATGGTCTGGATTCAGCTGCTGCTGCAAATCAGATATCAGACCAGAGAGACCAAAGGGATGGGCCCATCCTGTATCTCAAATCCTTACTGGGAATAAAGAGAATAAAGAATTCATTGAATTTCACATTGATGCTTTCCCTGGGGGAGATAGGAGTTTTTTTGTGTTGCCCACTGTGATCTCGCAAACTCTCCCATGTGGCAAGTACAAATACCACTAAATAACAAGAAACATTCGTGCTAAAGGAGTGTTCAAACCAGCAAATAAGCATTAGCCCGAGCATTAGCTCCCCAGAGGTGGAAGGTTTCAGTGCACACCTCCATAATCACAGACCCAAGTTCTCCCCAGACCTCCAAGCCTTTGGGAGACTCCAGGACATTTAAGCAGCAGATGGGATGCTGCATGTCTCAATGCCCTGGGTTTTCAGGGAAATGGCTAAGCCAGAACCATCACAGCAGGAGCCTTCGCCTATCCCCTTCACAGAGCACAGGCTCCATTGACCAGGAAGGTGCCTTTGATGTTGAGGTGCAGCAGAGAAAGGCTGGAATTTTTAATTCTCCACCATGATTTCTCAAAGGTGCCAAACTGCAGGACCCCTCTATTAAGCGGAGAGCTTCATTTGAGCAACCTTCATGCTCAGCTAGCCAGCACAGGAGCTCAGCAGCTTTCAGGACCAGCTCATGCCTGTAATGGGATTGCAGATGCTGAGGTGGGCTAGGAAAGAGCAAGAAGAAAAGCTATGCCTGAGGACTGGGTCCTTGGAAAGGCTGAATCCTGGGTTTGATGGTTATCTGCTGCCATCTAGTGTTCTCTGAGCACTCAAAGGCCTTCCCTGAAATCATGAATCTCGCTAACAAGCCTGACCCGCAGAGCACAAGGCACATCTTGCATCTGTGGCTGCATCAGGATGGACGCGCTTGCAGCTCAAGGCCAGATGATCTGGGTTGGTCCGTTCTCATGGACTTGGCCTGGGAGGGCTGTGCTCAGCACTAATGATCCACCTGGGGAACAGAGCATTTGACTGTGGTTATTCCACACCACAGAGCAGCTTTTCTGGCTCAAAAAAAAAAGTCTACTAGTGCATGGAAGGAGATCGTCCAGGAAAAGAACTGTGCAGGACCCCCATGAAACAGAAATGGGGGTTTCTATCAATTCCTTTCCAGTCTAAATGGCTAAAATCTAACGTGCATGACCTGGCTCTGCACCACTGGTGAAGACTGGGTACTTCCAAAGAAAATTCAAACCCTCTAGGTGGGTAAATCTCTATCTGCCCCCATTCGCACAACAGGAGAAGGCAAAGGGGAGCATGACATGACACCAAGAGGCAGGAATCCAATGAAAACAACACAGCATCTGCTTGATGTGATGATTAAAGTGCTGGGCTCCAAACTTAAGATGCTTTTCGACTGTGGCACTGTCCTTCCCTCACCACCTTCTCATTCAACAAAATGAATCAACTCACTGAAAATAGGTTCCCCTGCCCCTTTATCACTGCGATTTCTCTAAATCCTCTCCAGCTGTTCAACCCTCTGCCAACCCCAATGCTAACGGAAGGATGGACATCCACATGCAGGGAGCAGTCTCCCTTCTCAAGCAGCTCTGGAGACTCGTGCTCAAGTCTGGCCATGCTGAGGTGTCCTTGGGAGGCCACAGAAAAACATGGGACCCCATAAAGTTTTAGGAACCTGTTTATTCTGTCCTCTGGAAAACTGCTAAGATTCATGTAGTCCTCGCCCAGAGCTGCACTTGGCAGGTATTTGAATGCCACCCCAGGCAGATCTAGAGGTGAGGGCTCTCGTTCCAGCTGCTCTATGGCCAGATACTCCTTCTTCCTTGTGCAGAGAACAGTGAATTTCTGAGGCAAGGTCTAGCAGAGAGCCATGCAAACATCAGTGCAACCCTACAAACAGCATGAGCTCATTACCACATTTATGACAAATGCAAACACTACTGCTCAGTCCTTCTCAGTTGATTCAATAGGAAACATCCATCAGCAGCCTTCAAAGCACAGTCTGCAGGTCCCTGATCCCCTCTGATCCAGAGGGCACCAGTCACAGCATTGGTCTTGGGTGTCCAGTACAGAGCAACATCTATCATGTTTCATGGGCTCAGAGGAAATACAATTCTCTGAAGATGCACTGTTTCCTGAGGTTCATCCTTGAGCCTCTATCACAGCAACTTCACAATGGCTGGAGGTGTTTCAGAAAGGTTTGTTCTAGGCCAAATGGGATGTAACCCAGGTTACACACTCTTGGACCAAATGAACCCAGTTTTAAGGGCTGAGAGGGATTTCTAGGGTGTTTCCTTACACTGGTGAGGTGGAAGACATGGAGCTCTTGGTGTCTAAAGGCTACGGAATCTTCTGAGCAACAAAAGAGCTCAAGCAACAAGAGACAGTACAAAGCCGTTGTTCTCATTTCAGACCCTGCCGGAGATGTACATCAAGTCACAGGAAAGTGGCACGGTACAGCACTGTGCAGCTCAACAGCACCTTTGATCTGAGGATTGCAAAGCCCTTTCAAGACATCAGTTTGTTAAACCTCACAACACCCCTGTGAGGTAGGTAGCACCCCCCCACTGTACAGATGGGGGAACTGAGGCACAGAGAAAAGCAATGGCTTGGTCAAGGCCATCAGGAAAGCCAATGGCGCAAGCAGGAGGTGGTCCTGCTCTTGTTCCTGGCTTGTGGCTCCTTCTCCTTTTGGACAGCAGAGTATTAGCAGCTCACAAAGCTACTGCTGGGCTTGTCCCAGGAGCAGGGGACGTGCAATGTTTTTGGAGGGCTCCTGAGCCCCTCAAAAGCAGCCTGCTAACCAGCCACCACCAGCACTGCAGGGATTAAACCATTTCCCAGATGGATGCTCCTTGCAGGTACAGTCCCAGGATTCCACTGCTTTCTTCTTTTGCAGTTACAAAGGAGCCTGAGAGGGTCCTGAGAACTTAGTACTTTGTGCAGAAGACTCAGCATCGTCTAGCACAGTTCGAACTGGAAAGCACTTCTTTTCTCTCATGGCAAACGGCTCCAAAGACAATGCCCAGCATTGAAGTCTGGTAACAACAGGTGGTGCAGGATGTCACCAGGACTGCAGGAGAAGGAGGAGGTAGCTAATAGGATATTACACGGCTTCTGCTGGCACTGTCGTCACTTTTTTTTTTTTTTTTTTTTTTTTTCTGTCACTGTTGGAGGCTCTCTTGACCCCAAGTCACCCTATCCCAGCTCAAGTGCAACATCAGTAAGAAACCAAGGCTGGAGGATAAACCAGCAAGGAAGCAATGCCAGGAATGGTGGTGGAGTCTCTATCGTGATAACACTATCACCAGTCCATTCCAACCCTTATTTGCATCATGGTACCAATTTCCCCTCTCCTCCCCTTCCTAACCCCCCCACTACTGTTTTTGTGCTGAATACACAGACAGTCTTATAAAAATAGTCCTTTGGTATCAAAATACAAATAAAACAAGAGAGGAATAAAAGACCCCTGTCGCCAGCAGCAGTGCAAATCAGGAGAGCCAGCTCAGGAAGGATGGATTTAGGGTGTTCGTGGTTTGTCATTTCTTCAAAGGGAATGAGGCTGATTGGACTTTGATGGTTGGGACTGGCCTAGGAGCAAAAAGAGTAAGAAAATAACTCATAATGAGTACAGAGAGACAAGTAGCCACCATCCATACTACGATCATCTTTCCATAGCTCAAGGAACACTGAGAAGCAGCTGTCCCTCAGACCAGAGGGGATGCAACCAAGGCTGTCCCAGGTCACTCCGGCATCATGCTGACAATTTACTCAACTTGAATTGCTTTGCTGCTAGGCTTCAAATATAAACCTATACCTTCCCACTTCCCTTATTTCCCTTTTCCAGGCAGTAGAATAAATAACACTGATTTCAGCCTAGTGTTTAACCAGATGTCCTCTCCTCCAGAGCAATCCCATTCCCAGCAACAGCACTGTCCTGCATGGGGTCTGGGACTCACCTTTGAGGAGGCATTGGCCTGTAGGAAGGAAAGACAAACAAGGGGTCACTAAACATTCCTTCAGTCATCTCCTTCCAAAAATCTGACTCCACAAGACCTGAGGGCCATTACCTGACCTTGATCATATTACTTACAGCCCCCTGGACCCTTTGGCATAGGTGACTCCCCAAAGGTGCAAGCAAGGACCACCTGCTAGAAATTTAAAGGCCTTTTTCACAGTTCTCTTGGACTTGGTGGACTTTGATGTCCTTTGTAGCCAGGCAGCAGGGCACAGACCAGCACTCCCTACAGCCCAGATCATTCCTCTTGCTCCTTGGCAGCCCAGCCTGGACACATTAGCCATTATCAGAGAGGAGCAGAAGCTCAGGTAACCCTGCAGACACCACAGGCTGAGGGAACAAGGGGCAGACCACTGCATCCAGACAACATTTGGGACATATCCCCCACAAAAGATACAACCACAGCATCCCACACCCCATGTGCCTGCAGAACCCCCAGCCATAGTGTGAGGCAGCTCAGCTCCTCTCTCCACTTACTTGAGCGGCCTCGTGGAGTGGCTCGTGGTGCTTGTACCTGACGTCTTGAAGTTGGTGGGAGGAACCATGACCAGAAGGGTCTTTCCACGTGCAGGAGGCAGCTCTTTGGCCAAGAGTGGACAACCAGGCAGTGGCCGACGTGGGGGCTGGTGTTTTGGGACAACCTGCAATCGTAAAGTGCGTGGGGAAAGAACATCCTTAGAAAAACATCCAATAACTTCCTACAATCCTCTCCCCCTCCTGACGCGTGGCTGAAATGCTTCAAACCATAAAGTGGCACACTGCCAACTCCTAAACTACCTCAGGACGTTCTAGCTAATGAACTTTCTTCACTGTTGCAACGGACTTAGGTTGGTATGACAGCTCCTTAATGGTGCCCAACAACTTCAGAGAAGAGCCATAGGTGCTCACATCCCTAAGGTTCCCAGGAGCAAGGCTGGAGTGGGATGCACATTTTCTGTGCACAAACAAGCCCTTAGCACCAAATGGTGTCATCTAAAAGGACATCCCATCTAGGATAGCTAGAAAGGAGAAAAAAAAAAAAAAAAAGCTTCTGTTGCTGAAGTTAAAACAAAAAATCAGAGACAGGCCAGAGCATCCTCTGCTTTTATGTGGGACATCTGAGCACCAAGAACCAAGCTGTGCTGGCTGGCTGTTTAATTGTACTGAATTCGTGGCAAGCTGTTGTCCTGCAGGAGGCGGGTGGCAGCCAACACCAAGCAAGTCCTGCAAGGCTGGTGGGGCCAGGGCCGCCAGCAACGCTCACCAGCGGAGTCCTCACAGGGCTGCAGGGAAGAGGCTTCTTGGGAGGCGGCAGCTTGGCGTGAGACACGACTGTTTTGGTGGGGCCGGCGGGTGACCTGCTGGCTGGAGGAGGTGGCCTCGCAGGCTTGGGGTCTCTCGGAGCCTGAGGGACGGGGTGCGGAGCCAGGCGGAGCGGGTGGACGATGTGGACGGGCTGGGAGCCGTTCTGCTGAGGCCTGGGTTTGTGAGGTAACGCGGCCCGCGCTGCCTGCAGGAACAAGAAAGGCAAAAACCCAGGGTAAAACATCAGGTGCGTTTTCCTGGGTGTTGGAAAGCAGAAGTCCCCTCATGGTCTGGGCACTAGGGAGTCACAGGAGGAGGACAGGATCTTTACTCCACTTCTGGGACTGACCTTTCACCATCCTGTCCCAAAGTGAACCTACTCTCTCTATACAAAGAGGAGAAGGCACTAGGAGAGGACTCAGGAGACCTAGAGCAGGAACATGCCAGGTTTCCACTACACTGGCCAGTTGCTGAGGCGGAAGGTGTCATCCCTTCTGCCTTACTCTCAAGCCACTGTGACCATATTCATAAAAAGAAAAAAAAATCGCTCTGTCTTCCTAAATTCTGCTCTGTTTATCTATCTCAAGGTTGCCAGAGCTGTAACAACCAACAGCAAACCATCTGCCTTCATGAAGGCTCAACCAAAAGCTTTCAGGGAGATCAGAGGGTCCCTGCTGAGCTTTGCCACGGGGACACGACTATTTCCCTGTGGAGGCTCCTGGCAGAGGAGAAATTTGCCCTTCACCACGGTCCTTCCGAGCAGGCAGAGCTCAGAAGACTCCCCTTTGGCTGGGGACGTGCCAGCATGTGCACTGCCCAAGGCCGGGACTGAAGGTGACACTGCAAGGGGCTCTACGTTTTGTTTGGGAGCACACGGGATTTGTTTGTCCTGAATTACAAACACCTGGGACCAAACTCAGGGCACGGCCACGCTGCACATGCAGAGCCAGGCAGGTCACATCGCAGCTCGGAGCCTGCGGGCAGCGCACTTGGCATCAGTATTGCCCACATCCTCACTCGGAGGAGCTTCTTATCCAGGCCCAGCACAGCACCCTGCTCAGCAGGGCCACCTCTGACACACAGCCCAGGGTCCAGGCTGCCACATCACTCTTGTGGTCGCAACGCAATGGAAATCTGAGGGAAAAGTTGTCCTTCGACCACAATGTTGCCCAAGCAGCTGAATCTTGCACGTCATAGGCAGGCTGGAGGTTCATACCTCCATATAGACACACACAACTCAGACCTTTACGCCCAATATGAATCTTCTGAGTCCCAGTCACCCTGAAAGCCACCAGCAAAGCAGATTTTGTACCCCGAGCTGCAGTCACAGATGTGGTGACCATAGGACCAAATGGCCTGAATGTTTCTCCTTAAAGCACAGACACATGCAAAGCAGAGCACTGCTGGCTCAGCTCTAGAAAGAGATGAGATCACCCGCAGCTATCGGTCCCCAAGAGGGAAAGCCAGGCTGCAGGGGTACTTAGCACTTACTTTATTAGTGTGGCTGGAGGTGGAAATGTCCCGTAAGGTGAAAGCAGCTTTGGAATGACTGCTGTTTGCCTTCCGACCCGCAGCTTTGTTCCTGCCCAGGATCACAAACACAAACCACAGACGATAAAGCAACTCTCACTCTACAGCTGCCTCCCCAGTAAGTGCTCTTCAGAGATACCCTGTCTCCATTAATGGTCAGCCAAATATCAGGCCAAATATACAGTGCTGGGTTAGAGAGAGCTGTAATTTGCTTTAAAATAATGAGCACGGTGGCATTTTTGAAGTTGCTTATGAAATAAAAAGAGGAGGCTTATTTGGTTCAGAGATTTTTTTCCTCACACGTTTGCAGGGGCTCCATGTGTACCTGTGCTGGGGAGACAGGGCTCAGAGAGAAGGAAATAATGAGAATATCTAAATGTAGAGCTCATGTAGAGCTATTCCAGCACACCTCGTCTGCTAGGAACGGATGGCAAGCCAGCTCCTCAGCACCAGCCACTTTCCTCATCACTCTCTGGGGTCATGCTGGCCCTGATGGATCATTTCTGTCCTCTGCTCATGACAGAGCTGAAAACTTCAGACCATCCCTAGGAAAACCTCTTCTGATCTCAAGCCATGTCTAAGCTCTTCCATATACACTCAGGATGTCAGTAAGTAACCAACTCTGTCGGATTCATTTGTGCTCAGATGTGACCCTATTTCTTCCTTGAAAAGGGAACTCAGAAGCAGAACAGGGTAAAATTCACACCAGAGCCTGCAGCTCCAAACACCACAGACACAAGCCAGCCTGCATCATGGCCCACAGATCAGGGCTCATAACCTGCAAGTTGGAAAGGATGCTTGGAAAGGATGGAACAGCTACAGCCCCTGTGATCCCAAATTCAAGTGTCTTGTGCCAATTTACCATTTGCAGGGTACTAAAACATGAGTATAGGTGCACTTCTAACCTGGCCCCAGGGTGACTTGCTTTGGTAGCACCTCCTGCCAGGACTGGCACTACCAGAAGCACAGGCTCCTCTGACAGCTTCCAGAAGCCAGTTCTGGACACTAAGACCTTGCATTTCTCCCAAGTATCTCATGACCCCAGAGGATGGAGACCTAAGTGCTGTGTCTGAAACTTCCCTGAGTTCATACCAGGTTGAAACAGGCCCTGTGCACATCCTCCATTTCCTCACAATCACTCCTACCAAGCTGCATTCTGCAAGTGGCAAGAAAACAAGGTTTTTAAGGGTCTCACTGAGTGCTCACAGGACGACATATTAAGGATGTATCACTCACCTGTACGTGTCATGACTCCTCCTTATTTCCTTTATCCATTTATTCAGGAGCGAGTTCTCCTGCCGATACCAGAAGTAGATGCTCATGGCCAGGGCCGGGAGGAAGAGCAGGAAGACGAGCAGAAGGGAGATGAGGATGGCTTCGTGATCTAGCAGGGAAAGCACAAAGATGAGCACAAGGCTGTCAGTGTAACTTCAGAGCGTGGCTCAGCTCTGCTCAGTGCAAACAACCAACCCTTCTGCCTGCTCCTGGCAGCCACCTAGGCCTGAGACATCACCGCACACCTTCAAGGAAAGGGGAAGGAAAGGGCCCTGTTTGGCAGCCTCCGAGAGTCACCGAATGACTGGAGCTGGACAGAGCCTGCAAGTCTGCCTGATCTGGTTAGACCCAACACAAATGGGAACAAAGCTGCCCACAGGATCACAGAATGGTTGATGTTGGAAGGGACCTCTGGAGATCATCTAGTCCAACGTCCCCGCACAAGCAGGGTCACCTACAGCACATAGCACCATATCATGTCCAGACAGATTTTGAGTATCTCCAGAGCAGGAGACTCGACGATCTCTCTGGACAACCTGTTCCAGGTCTCTGTCACCCCCACAGTCAACAAGTTTCTCCTCCTTATCTCACCATCTCCCTGTCTTTGTGGCACTGCTCCATTCCCAGCAGCAGCACAAGGTGCAGGGCCCTCCCCCAACCACCTCAGCCTGTTGCACCACACTGAGGAGACACCAGAACTCACTGTCCCGCTGCACAGGGCCGCTGTCCACACTGCCACCCAGGCCGGCCTTCTCGCAGTACGGGGGAGCCCAGCCAGCTCTGCAGTGGCAGTTCTTGTTGCTGTTGCAGACCTGTGGGAAAAGGATGGTTGGAGACCATGAGGAGCAATGGAAACTCTCATGGAAACCACAATCCACACAGTTGGGATGAGATGAGATGGCCAACGAAAGGAATTTGGGCTGGAGACAGAGAAGGAGCTAAATCCCTGCCAATATCCACCCCTTGGACATCACTTGGATCATGTCTATGTTGCCCTCAGAGCTTCAGTTACAATGTATGGAGATGGTTTTTTGCTGACACATTTATTTCCATGCTCTTTACATAAACCTTTAAAGACAAGTACTTAGATCTTTGGTTTTCATGCCATTTGGTTAAACAAGCCCAATGACCTCAAATACTTCTCTGGAGGCCAGAAGTTGGTTAGATATTAAGTCTCCCCCTCGGAGTCTTAGCCAGTAACCCATACCTTTCATAAAGTAGAAATTACAAACCTGAAGCCACAACAGTGCTGAGCAGAATGCCGGGTAAATTCAGGTGCCAGCCTAGGACCTCATATATAATCACACTGTCATCTTATGCAGCAGTTTGTTGTTGCCTTATATGACAAAGCTTGAGTTGATGACCTAAGGAAACCTTGTCTGCAGGGGTCAAGGCTTTGTAGCCTTTAAGCTTCGGACAATAGTGACTCTTCCTACTCTCTGTAGCACTTCCTTGATTTTCCTAAAGCCCCAGTAGTGTTTCTGACTATTGCTTTGCTCTCAAAGGGAACAGGCATCTGCTCAAAGCTCTGAATCACCAATTCAAATTTCGCAGGTGGTCCTTACATCAGGAACAACCTTCTCCAATTTGGACACAGATAGCAAAGATCACAACTCAGTCTCATTCACAGCTGACATGAATGTGACAGTTATGAAAAGCAGGTGCCTGCTGCACTGCAAGACGACTCATCCCTGTGGGAGATGTTTGGTTTTGTTTAAGAATCTGAGCTCATCTCAGGACCCTGCTGTAGGTCTCGGATAGTAACTCACCCCATGGCCGTTGCACTGGGAAACACATTTTTCCAGCTCAAAAAGGGAGGCATTCTGGCACCGGCGATCTTTGCAAACCTGAGAGAGAGCCAAGAAGCCAAGTTAAAGAAAGGCCAGGGTTAGAGGAGAAGCAGCGAGATCTTCTGGCTTCACAGATAGGAGTCTTCTGAAATGACACTGCTGGAAAATGCAGGTTGGTTAAATCATGTTATTCCAGATCAATGCACTGACTTCACTCCAATTTTCAGCACTCCCTAGGAAAGCTCTGCCACTCTCAGTCCATGCCAGCCCACCAGACAAAAGCCAAGGCAGCTCCCTGCCCTGACAACCCACCTGGCAGCTCCTGCACACGGCGTTTCCCACCTGCCCCAACAGGTGGGCAGAAGCCAAAAGAGCCGACTTTGGCTCTTCAAAATGGGCATCCTTCCTCATGAAAATGTCAATGTTTTAGCCTTTTATCCTAAACTGTGACGAAAATTTCCTAGCTAAAACGCCAACTGGCAAAGTCTGTATCCTCCTAGCCGGTTCTGTTTGGCCTGCGTCCCTGCTACTGTGTCATCCACAAAGTCTCTGCCACTTCTCAGATGACCTGACCCCTCTTCTAAGGCATTGAGGGATGCAGGGACTGTAAAAGCAACTAATGCTTAGCTAGCAACATCTGCTTGAAACTATCCTACTGATGTCTAACACAATATTCATTTGGGAAACAGTTTATTCACCGACAAATTATCTGGAATTTACTAGTAAGCTTATGTGCAAGAGGGACATTTCAGATTCAGACTCACAAGACCACCATGACTTTGGCATTTCTGTTTATCCTAGTCCAGTGAACAAGGTAAAATTACCAGGAAGTTTAATTCTATTTGAAAAGGAAGAAAATTGCTTGGATCCAAATAGGACTGATATTATTGAAAATCATTGTTTCTCGATGCCCTGTTGAGCAGGTAAATCAGGTGTTTGTACTGTCATTGCCAAAGACATTCCCCCAAGAGCACTTGTCCTCCTACTAAAAGGGACCTCTGATTTGGGGGTGTCGGTAAGTGTAGATAAAACCATGGTCCTACTGTCAGGCAATGAAACAAGAGAGCACGGAGCCAATTTCCCCCGTGCCACCACCCCATCCTCACACCCCAGCCCTAGGAAGAGATGCTCACCATGCCATCTCCGCATTTGGTCCCCGTCATCACCAGCCCGGGGTCGGAGAGGTCCTCCTCATCATCCTTGGCCGTGTACATGTACGTGCCCCGGCACTTAACCTCCCGCCCGTTGAAGCGGATGGTGGTGTCGATGGAGACCGTGTTGGTGCCCTGGGGTTTCTTGGCTGAGCTCTGGCACTGGATCTTGCCGCACATTGCGTCTCTAGGAGGAGAGGCAGAGCCGTGAGGACGCAGCCTGCCCGTTGCTTTCTGCTCCTTCTACTGGAGCCGAAGTGAGGACAGGAGATGCCGTAGGAGATGCAGGTACCAGGAACATGGAGCTGCATTTTGGCAAGGCTCCTGCCATCCCAGGTGGCTGACTCCTGCTCTCATACATTCCATATGGCCCCAGGAAGGCTGCTCCTGGCTTCACAGCACACAGTTAGGGACACTGCTCACTCACCACCCTGTTACCCTATGCCCCTCTGCCTGCTGGCTCCCTTTCCTCCTAATTTATTGCCAGAGAACTGTGAGTTCAGACAGAGTCTCAGCAGGTTCATAACGGCCTTTGACAAATTCAGGGACATCACAGAGAGATGGTAGAGGGAACAGGCAGGGATGTCCCCTCTGACATCCCAGTGGATGCTGGGGAGCACAGGGGACAGGGCTGCTGATACATTCCCTGGATAGCGTCTCCCACTGTCACTGCTCCTGTTGACTTTCCCTTTGGGCTGGGGTTGGAGGTGACACATGGTGCAACAACCTCCCTGCAATGATGAGGGCTGAGCCAAGAAAGGAGCTGGCAGTTGGCTCAGGTTCTGAATGGAGCTGGCCTAAAGCTGGGACCTTGGGTACAATCCCGGCATTCCCAGTGCAGGGAGCACCAGGGGCACCTGCACACAGGGCACCTGCAGTGTCTGCTGCACTCGCCTCTTTTCACACTTGACGTAGCGCCCTTGGCTGTCTTTGCCACAGTTGCCATAGGTGTTGCCAGCCATGTTCACGTCCTGGAAACAGGCATCAGGGGCTGGCCAGGCACCTGCAGGGAAAAAGAAAAATCCAACATAAGCAAAGGTCCAGAAAAGCAGCCATGAGGGAGAGGATAGAAACACTGAAAGCAGGAACAGTGCCTGAAAACTCCTGCAGAAAACACCATGCAAGGTCCTGGAGCACCAGTGCTGCGGGTGTAAGGCTGAGAACAGCAAACAGGGGTGAGTCCCATTGCTTGGGGGGCTTGTGGGGGACTCTCCACGCTGCAGCTCTCCTGCAGAGGGGCCTAACACCGCACTGACCCCAGGAGGTGGCAGCACTGCTGCACAGATGGGGACTCGAGGATGCGGAGAGCTGTGAGAGGTATGTGCATATGCAGGATGTCAAGCAGGGACTCTGCCGGGTGCATATAAGCTGTAGGCAATATGTGGCTGTATGCAGCGTGGAGGCCATATGCAGCGCATGAGCTGCATCACCTATGGGCCATAGGCAGCATCGTGGCCATATGCAGCAGAGGGGAGCCCGGCTGGGCGCGCGGCGCTTACCTGGGCCCCAGAGCTGCACGCACTGCTGGAGGTGGGTCATGCACATGCCGTTGCTGCAGTAAGCCTCGCCGGAGGCGCACGAGGAGCCGTCCAGCAGGTAGACGTTGGCCGGGCAGTAAGGGGAGGCGCCCGTGCAGTACTCGGGGAGGTCACAAGATCCCGCTGCTTCCCGGCACATGGTACCAGCCACCTTCAGCTGCCAAAGGAGGAGACACAAGTGTCAGTGAGCTGAGGAGTCCCAAGCCAGGACTGGCACCACCTGCCAGCACGGCTCAGGTGAGAAGCCTATGGGACCAGAAGGGGCTCCCAAGGTGGACGTTTATGTAAGGCCAGATTCCCAGAGCTGGACCCCAGTCACGGGAACAGCCAGCAGAGAATCCGCAGAGGATGCGTATTCCTGGATAAACCTCCCCATTTACCCCGGAGGTGCTGAACTTGGGATCTGATGAGGGACTTGCAGAGCAGGAGTCTAGGGGGATGTTGGGGGCCACGTCCCCCTCCTTGGCCCCAGAGTCCCCACCTTGCAAGCGGGTGGGCACAGGAGACACGAGTTACCCTGCAGCTCTGGCAGCAGTCGCCATGGGCGCACTGGGCCCCCATCTTGAGTGTGCAGTTGTGGGCGTTGCAGCAGGGGTTGGTGCACTCCTGCACGGAGAGAAGACATCACAGTGAGCACGGCTGTCCCTGCCCCTGCCCCAGCCAAGCCACAGTCATCCCTCGGGCTCCCTCACCAAGCACAATATCCCCCTCGCTTTGCCAAAGGGGAACATGAAGCAGAGGTCAGGAAGGAATAGAAGCATGGAGGAGTTCAGGATGAAATAGGCACGTGGGGCAAAGTCAGGAGAAGAGGCAGGTGGAACAGGATTTAGGAGCACAGGACTGGAAAGAGGCCTTGGGATGGAGTCCCCAGTGGGGACTTCCCTGAGGGCCGGTGCCCACAAACCCATTTCCAGTGGAAATAAACCTCTCCACACGGGATGCACTCCTGCCTGCCTGACCCCCTGCAAGCAGCCAAGAGCCAAGCTGAAAAGCACCTTTAGGAAAGGGCTGCAGCACCTGGGTCCTACCTCGACCTCCCCGCAGTCACAATCCTCTCCTTCCTCCAAAAAGCCGTTGCCGCATTTCCGGCCAACCACCAGGTCCTTGGTGTCGGGCAGGTTGAAGAGACACATGCCACCCCCCTTCTGGAAGTAGTTCTCCAGCTGCCTCTTGCTGCAGGAGCTGAACACACGAGGGAAGGGATGTCTGTGCAGGGGAGAGATGGGGAGAGATGGGAACTGGGGCAGTCAGGACTAGGAAAAGATGGAGAAAAATAATCACAAGTACAGCTTGGAAAGAGGGAAACGAGAAAATGAGCAATGATGCTTCCAAATCACAGAGCAAAAGCCAGGTGCTGCTGACATCCTTCACCCTAACCACAAGGTTGGGCTCTGTGGCACCATAAAAAGGAAAAAAAGGAAAAGAATGAGAAAACACACAAAAAATGGCTGTATTAACTAACAAGGCTTGAGGAAGAATAAAAATCAGTGGACACTACGTATATGAACATTTCTCTAACAGCCCAACTGAACTTTCGTCTAAGCAGCTGGACAGAAACCAGCGATTTGAGAAACTCTGAGAACAGTTCTGCTTTAATTTTGCATAGGTTTGTTGGGGTTTTTGCACAAAGCATTAAAAAAGGAAGAAGCAGATGGTAAAAATGTAGGCATTGCTCTCTGTTTCAGTGTTGTTTTCACTTCCTCACATTGCTGATTTGTTTTTTTATTTGAGATTAGGACATCCTCTTTTTGACATAAACCAAAATGCTTTTTCTGCGGTATTTTGAGTCTGGGGGGAATCTCTTGAGCTACAGGAAAAATGTAGGCGCCTACAAGCTATTGCAGAGCAAGCAAGCGAATAAGCCCACAAATTGGTGCATGAATGTGCAAATAGGAACAGCCTAAAGATAGTTGAAAATGTGTTTCCCACTCTTGGGGAGGAAAACATTTTAGCAAAAAAAAAAAAAGAAAAAGAAAAATATATATATATATATACATATATGTATATATTATAGGGGTGGGTGGGGGATGCTGGAGAATGTGAAAGTTATTTACTCTTAATGAGGAACGTCCTGCTTCCCGATTCAGTGAGGCTGGCTTTAGGGAGCAGGAGCTCATCCCACGCTAGCCCTCCTTCATCCTTCAGGCCTGCAGGGATTAGCAGGTTCTCCAAGGTGTAGCCTGGCCCAGGAAGAGGCCTTAGCTGCCCCAGCAGCGCCCGGCTGCACGATATCCCGCGGCACAACCAGTGGAGCATCAAGGCTGGGAGGAAGTGGCCATGTAAGGTGTCAGTAGGATGAAATCCCTTCTCCTCTGTCCCCAGCTCTTCCCAGGGCCGGGGCAGCCCAGGGAGGGGGCTGGAAACCAGGTTCTGCCTTCCTCTGTGCTCCCTCATCCTCTCCCAGCTGCTCTGGGGTCTTTTGGAGACCTCGAGCACAGTCCTTCCTGAGCAAAGCAGGAGGCCACAGAGATGCTGCCATCCTTTTCCCTGCATGTTTTGTCAGGGAGGGAGGAGCAGTGCTGGCTGCCCTTGGCCTCTGCGGGCTCTGCAGAAGCAGGGCAAGCAGAAGGAAGGCAGCCAGCTCCCCCTGCGCGATGGGAAGCCACGTGCACAGAAGAGCATCTGCAAGACAGGTCTCCTCTCTCTGCTGCCCTTCCACACATGTGGGAAGGGCATCCGGAATCACTCGTGTTTCCCACATCCCTCCCCACCATCCCCCTGTCCCTTACCCGGTAGCCGCGGCCATGACGCAGCCGCCTTGCTCAGGGGTGGCCTCCACGCAGCAGCCCTGGCTGTCGTGGCTCATGCCGAAGTTGTGGCCGATCTCGTGGGCCATGGTGGCGGCCGCTCCGATGGGCTGCTCCGAGTGGTCCTGCGTGGGGAGGCAGGGGTTGCCTCAGGAAGGCAGCCACGGAGCAGGGAAATGTCCCACGGGGGGACAGGGCCGGGGCGCAAGCGTGTGGCAGAGGGACCACGGCACCCAGCTGGGTTCCCAGCTGGGTCCCACAGGAAGGAGGGAGGGAAGTGTCACCCCACAGGGCAGCAGGAAAAGCAGAACCAGTTTGATACAGAATCACAGAAACCCAGGATGGCTGAGGCTGGAAAGGACCCATAGAGATCATCTAGTCCAACCCCTTGCTCCAGCAGGGATACCCGGAGCACTGAGGCACAGGGTGGCATCCAAGTGGTTTTGGAAGATTTCCAGAGAAAGAGATGAATGAAGGTCAAACGAGGGGCCAGGAGCACCTCTCAGTACAACAGACCCTAATTGTGTGGCCAACAGCAGGGGCAAGGGACCACACGCATCTCTGGTACAACCAGGATGGTTGCTCCTCTATGTCAGCAAACGAAATGGGGTAACAACGGGGTGCCCAGGCTGGGAAGACGAGCAGAGACTTCCCCATGTCCCTTACCACGCTGACGCCTCCGGAGTTATCGGGGCTGCACATCCCCTCCAGCGGGGCCATGCCGATGGTGGTGCCCCGGAACGTCTTCCCGCTGTCCAGATGTATTCCGGAAAGGAGAGCGGACAGGCCGTTAGAGCCTGCGGACGGGGCCGTTAGCAGCCCAGGGGGCCCTGGAGCCCCCGTCCCGCCAGGCCCGTGTCCCCGGGCGCTCACGTCAGCAGCTGGGCGTTGTCGTGCTTCTTGCGAGCGCGCAGCGTCTTCCTCCACTGCAGGAAGGACCAGAGCGTGGCGTTGGCGTCGCTCGTCACCGTGCACTGGTCCCGCTCCGTCCACACCTCCAGGCCGATCAGGGCCACCTTGATATTCAGCGACCTGTAAAACTGCAGGAAGGGGACAGGGATGGAGGGGACAGGGACTCCCAGGGCTGGTGACATAGGGAGAGGCCCTGAGGGTTGCCAAAGGGGTGGCCCTGACCTCAAGCACTTTCCCATGCACTGGGAGTGACCAAACGGCCAGGCTGGTCCCTCATCCCTGTTCTTACCTTGTCCACGTAGTTTGCGATCTCCACGATGCGCTGCTTGGTGTGGCCCAGGTTGAGATTCTGGTTCCTGAACTGCAAGGACATGAGCCCAGGGAATGGGGTTAGTACCCCAAGTTTGATGCTTTCAGTCCCCTTTTCCCTGTCACGCCGGGCTGTGGGTGACCCCCGGTGCAGAGGACAGGATAAGAGGCACTGGCAGGGCTTGTGCAGTGGGAGAGCTGAAACCACCAAAGATCTGCCATTTCACTAGTGACTCTGCACTGCTGCTGATGTTCTTAAGCTGCAGCAGCATCTCTGCATGAGGGAAGCAGCGGGAGGACACCCAGAGCTCTCAGGACGTGACAATATGTGATCTCAAGTGAAAAACACAGCTTCCAGGTGAGGCCTGGAGGCAGTCTGAGCTGGCACACCCAGAGTCCAGGCTTGTGCTGGACACATCCTAGACGTGCTGCACCTGAGAAGCTTGGAAAGGGAAACGGAGAGGAGCCCTGGCTTATCTGCAAAGGACTGTGTTTCTGTCCCGGGGAGCTCACCAGGGTGTAATCAGCAACGATGAAGAGCTCCATGTACTTCATGGTCCTCCAGGCATCTCTCCTGGCCTGCAAGACAGACGCAAGGCTCACAAGAGGGAAGGAGCAGACAGACAGGGACAGAGAGGCCTGGGCCACGGGGTATCTAAGGTCACCAGACACGGCAGCCCTGTCCGGGAGGATTGGTTAAGGGCAGCAACTGAGGCATGAGAAGACAGGAAAATTGGGGTGGCTGTTGGATGCAATTCCCAGTCTCATCCCAGGACCCCAAGCCCAGTTCCCTGGTCAGGACTCACCGCAGTGCTGCATTCAAACACATTTGCTCTCACCCTGTACCACCCAGCACCTCTCCCTGGGCTTCCCATTGAGGTCTCCTGCGCAAGCACAACCCACACGACCTATCACCACCCCGGGCAGCAGAGGACATTTAGCAGGGGCACAGAGGGCCCTCCATCCCTCCTGTGAGCGAGGGGCCGCGGGGTTTACCCGGGGACGCGCTGGCGCGAAGACGCGGGCGATGTCGGCGACGCTGCTGCCGAAGGCGTCTCCGTGGCCGCAGGTCCCAGCGCGGAGGGGCAGGTGCTCCGCTCGGTAGATGACGTGGTGCCCGGGCTCCGGGGTGCCCAGGGGTTGCAGGTAATAGCTGTCATTGCTGCTCACCACAATGAGGCCTCTGCAAGGAGGGGAGCAGCCCC